CAATCAATTGAATGGAACTCACCACTATACATCAACTTCATCGACTACGAGAAAGCATTCGATAGCGTGGATAGGAAAACACTGTGGAGGCTTCTTCGACACTACGGTGTGCCTGAGAAAATAGTCAACATCATACGGAATTCTTATGATGGATTCAACTGCAAAATCGTGCACGGTGGTCAGCTGACAAACTCGTTTGAGGTGAAGACCGGTGTCAGGCAAGGTTGCTTACTCTCACCCTTTCTCTTTCTCCTGGTGATCGACTGGATTATGAAGACGTCAACATCTGGAGGGAAGCACGGTATCAACTGGACAGTTAGGACGCAGCTGGACGATCTGGACTTCGCAGATGACCTGGCTCTTCTATCGCACACTCAACAACAAATGCAAGAGAAGACGACCAGTGTAGCAGCAGCCTCTGCAGCAGTAGGTCTCAACATACATAAAGGAAAGAGCAAAATTCTCCGATGCAACACAACATGCACCAATCAAATCACGCTTGATGGAGATGCTTTCGAGGACGTTAACAACTTTACATATCTTGGCAGCATCATCGACGAGAAAGGTGGATCGGATGCAGATGTGAGGGCGCGGATTGGCAAAGCGAGGGTTGCATTTCTACAGTTGAAAAATATCTGGAACTCCAAACAACTTTCAACCAAAACCAAAATCAGGATTTTCAATACAAATGTCAAGACAGTTCTACTGTATGGAGCCGAAACATGTAGAACTACCAAAGCCATCATCCAGAAGATACAAGTGTTTATTAACAGCTGTCTACGCAAAATAAATCGGATTCGTTGGGCAGACACCATCAGCAACAACGAACTGTGGGAGAGAACAAGTCAGATTCCAGTGGCGGAGGAAATCAGGAAGAAGCGGTGGAAGTGGATAGGACATACACTGCGAAAAGCACCAAACTGCGTCACTAGACAAGCCCTCACATGGAACCCTCAAGGTAAAAGGAATAGAGGAAGGACAAGGAACACACTACGCCGAGAAATAGAGATAGATATGAGATGAATGAACAAACATTGGACAGAATTGGAGAGGGAAGCCCAGGACAGAGTTGGCTGGAGAAAACTGGTGAGCGGCCTATGCTCCATCGGGGGTAACAGGCTTAAGTAAGTAAGTAAGTAATCGATGGTCAAATGATTGCTTAGAAAAGAAATATTTTTCAAACTTTCATTACGATTATTTTTTCGACCAGCTTGAAAATCATCTAGGAGCATTATTCAGTTCAAAAGTCATCGATTTGATAATTCTTGCTTTTGTCATGAGGGCCTGGCTGCCGGTCACAAACCCTGATAAAGGAGGAGGGTTAGGCATGGGGTTAGTGAGCCCATCCCGTAGAAAATTAACTTGCTAAAAAAATCTCTAACCAGAAAAACCAATTCAAACCATTTAAACTCAGCCATGGGAGTTAGAAAGTCTTCATCTAAAGAAGAGCTATGATCTCTCATAATGAAAGCTGAGTTTCTTCGGATGTCAAGAGGCCGACAGTCCTTCTCAAAACCAGAGAAATCATTAAAAAATATGTACATATAAATATGTTTAAATCCGTTTTCTTGACATATTTATTCGGTGATAAAGTAAATCAACAAATCGTCAATATGAGGTTATGGAGATTATAGAATCGCCTTGAAATTATGACTGATTAATATTAGATTAACATTGGAGACTTGGAAGCGCTAGACAGACGAGTCGTCCTAATATGAACTCATCAGTAGTTAACTCCAACGACCACCGCTAGTGGAAATCGAAACGAAGACTTTCGGTCTTGCGCACAAGGACTTGAAATATCGACGATTGAATCGGCATCTAACGATGTTAATATCTAACATGAATCAACCCTCAATATTAAGAAACCATCATAGGTTCATATTTATGGTGAGATCACTAATGACTAGCCTTATGAGAAACCTCTTGAAATTTGTTAGGATATTCATCCAATATCCTAAGAGAACTAACTATTGGTCAGTTCCTATTGGTTAATTCCTACTGGTCAATTTTATGGTCGTCCTAGACCTCAGTTTCACTTGCTCCAATGTTGTTTCTTATTGGTTGTCCTGAATATCAGTGTCCGTTCAAATGTTGCTTCCTATTGGTCGTCTTATCTGTTAATGTCACAGACTTCGATGCGGTTTCCTATTCGACCGAAATGTATAAATACGCAAAATCTGTAACGTTTTATGACCAGGATCCGGTCCCGGATCCCTAATCCGAGATCCTGATTCTCTTCTGGACTCAGACCTCGTACTTTCTGGATACTTGTAGAATACACGTTCTACTTCATATCAAGTCTTGTCTTCTTATTTTTACTTACTATGGGGGTTGGGATAATCGGATTTGAGTAGCATGTCATGTCACCGGATCCTCGATCCTCTCTCTCGTTTACCGACTAGGTAAACTCATAATAGTTCAAGTGTATCAAGTTGACAAGTTTACGTGCAGGCGTGACAGAGTTCTACTAAGCAACAATGACTAGTAGAGTTCAATCGTATCGAGTGTGATGCAGATAAAAATCAAAGATCATGGATGGCCGTGGCATAACTTCAGAGATTGATTGAGAATTGAAATCTAAGAATTTTACAATTAAACTCTTTGACTAATATTTAGGCGGCATAAAAAATGAATCATCACCTATCCAACATTCTAATTTTCAAACACTTCCCATCATTTTCCTTGTATCAATAATCAGTAATTTTCAATGTCATTATTCATCGATCATATTCATCAATGGAACTGATTTTATTTTGTGTGTGTTTTGTAACAGATCAGGAAATTTTCAGTAATTTTTAATACAACAAAAACAGTACAGTACAAATTTCAGTAACATTAAATCCCTGTTTATGTATAAAATATGAGATTGTTTGTATATCCATATTGTAGTACACATATGTAGACCTCCCGGAAGAACAAAATGAACATGGATGACTGGAGCCATGGTTTTTCTTTTTTGATTTACTACGGAAAAATATATCAGAGTAGTGGAGACAAAAGATGAATGTCAAAATATTGTCGATGTTTAGCCGATTTTTTAATGGAATTTTCATCCTGTAAAGTTTTACTATGTCAGTGATTTCATTTTTACTGATTGTATGGTGTGAATTTTCTGGTGATTCGTTTTTTTGTGTGTAGGAATATTTGTCTTTCGTTATAGAGTTATGGAAAGTGTTGAGTTACTTTATGAAATCACGAATCGATCAACGTTAGACCACCAATTAGAAACCCAGGAAGTACTAAGAGACAGCCGTTTCGTCTTAGTATGGAACTCATTAGCAGAGAGCATTCACCACAAGGCCTGCTACTGACAGAATTCAAACCCCGGACCATTGGTCTTGCACACGAACGACTGACCTCTGGACCACTTGGCTGGCCGGCATCCAACGTTGTCAATACCTAACTATGATCAATTTAGGGATTTTGCGCATCCTCACTTATTTGTCCTCCGTAGTTACTTCCTACACCCGACGCGTCTGCACTCCACTGGCCATAGTTTCGAACTAGAACTCCAAGAACCTCATGAATGTAGTCACTAGTGTGCACATTGTACGAGTTTTTATGATACAATCATGAAGATTGTTGCTGATTACAGAAATTATGAATCATTCATTATTGTAGGCAGTAAACACCGAAGACAAATGGGTGAGGTTGCGCAAAATCCAGAGATTGATCAGAATTAGATATTGACACAGTTTTATATCGACTAAGCAGTAGCCTAGAAGTTAACAGTCCACGTATGATATATCGAAGGTCATCGGTTCGAATCCTGTGGGTAGCAACACAGCACGAAACGGCCTTCTTTCACTGCTTCTTACAAGTTTTTAATGTAGTTTTAACAATGACTGAATCATGATTTCAGTGAAATACAATTGCACGAATACAATTTTACATTCCTTATGCTATTTGAGAGGAATAATCAGATTAGACTGTTGTGAATCTATGTTTACGGAATGAAAGGTACACTCCACAATGACTACGTAGATAGTTGAAGATTTCGAAAAGTTTGAAAGAATAAGATTCAACAAAACTGGATGCTCTTTTACGACAAACTTCAGTCATCAATAGGAGCTGCAGATTGTAAAATGACCGACCATGGAACTTAACAATTTATTAAAACATTTGACAGAACAATACGATCAGTTCAGCAGCTCATTAATGTATAATTTTAAGTGCCGATCGAAAAACCCATGACCTAGGAAAGCACGTAATAATTGTGTTGTTTGAGGCTAACGCTTCGCCACCTACAACAGATACCAGTTTAAAAACTCCTCAAAAATGACAAGTGACTAACAGAGCACACACAAACACAATGATAAATTCATCTATCCTGCGACACATTGTATTCTCAATTGAACAAAACCTCAGACACTGAAGCGTTCGTCGTGAAATCTAATAATCTGGATGCTAGGATGCAGCTGGACGTAAGTAAGTAAGTAAGTAAGTAAGTAGGTGAGTAAGTTAGTGAGTTACTAAGTAAGTAAATAGGTAAGTAAGTAAGTAAGTGCATAAGTGAGTATGTAAGTAAGTAAGTAGGTGAGTAAGTAGGTAAGTAAGTAGATGTGTAAGTACGTAGGTAAGTAAGTAAATAGGTTAGTAAGTAGGTAAGTAAGTAAATAGGTAAGTAAGCAGGTAGGCAAGTAAGTCGGTAAGTAAATAGGTAAGTAGGTAAGTAAGAAAATGTGTAAGTAGGTAAGTAAGTAAATAAGTAAATAGTTAAGTAAGTAGGTAAGTGTCCAGATAAGTAAGTAGGAAAGTAAGTAAGTAGTTAAGTAAGTCATTAAGTAAATAGGTAAGTAGGTAATTTAATAAGTAAGTAAGTAAGTAGGTAAGACAGGGCTTCAATCCAATTTAATGTGCATCTACGAGCTCTAATCAGGCATAGAGAAGACATTTTTTTGCGGTTCAAGAGAAAATGTTTAGTTAAACAACTTAAAAATCCTGATATACTGAATCATAAACACACACACAAACTGATGAATCTAACAATAACTTACCACTTTCTGCAGCTTTCCATAAACCTTTTTTAAAGATCATTTTTAATTTACGTTTCTTTTCAAAATCTGTACCGAATACAGTGATAATCAATGTCGGTGGTTTTAAACCCCATTTACGCTTTAAAATATCACGTAATACAGAATCTGGTGTATCACTGTTCAATTTGCAAAACTAAAATGATCAAAATGAAAAAAAATGAAATTAATGAGTAAACATTTTTTATTATAAAGAGTTAAAAAAGAGATTGTTATTTATTACTGAAATCATAAATCAGTCATTCACAGACCAATATTAGAAAGGTGGAAACACTGAAACACGACCATTTAATTTCTGACATGAAGCTCATATAAAGTGACAGTGGGCAACCAAGACTCTTGCTGTAGTGAAGGAGAAAACAGGTGAGGGCAATCGAATTGTATTTGTCTTAAATTACAGAGTTACTCAGTAAAATAGGAAAAGCATTTCGTAAACTGTTAATTTGCAAAACATCAATCAATCATCGATCCATTGTCTGACATTTCACTATTCATGCGTTTCATACATATTCTTCCATTGTGTTCCCACTCTTCCTTTCTTCTTCATCTTCCCCCATCATCTGCTGCCAGACATTACGTTTTCACTCACCTTATATACTACTTATAAGTAGCGCGCACCACACTGTTACTGGCAGGAATCAAACCCATGACCTTCGGTCTTGCACGCAAACATTTTCTTCGGCTTCGCAGGGTAACAAGGGTTACTGTATCTCCAGTGAAATAGAGCGTGAGAACGCATGTACCGATATATGGTAAGCTAGAAGACATTGAGGTAATACATCTCTCTATAAATCAGGTGACGGTCGGCTTACGAATGAATTTAAGATGGCTTTGATAGTTCAGTTTGTTTTTCCCACAGGGCCTTTAACCTCTGGGTGATACACAGAAGTGTATGCCTTCGAGATTCCTAACCTTAGGACCGCTATGCCGACTGTCATCCAACGATGTCAATGTCTAACTCTGATCAATGTTAGCAGTTTGCGCAACCTAACACATTGTGTTCGATAGTATCTACTGAGTACATCTGACCGCGGTTGAACTCCATTGGTCATGTCTTCTCACTAGATCTGCTAGAATTTCCTCATGAATCTAGTTACTAGTGAGCGTATTGTATGATTTTACATTTTGCACATATGGAGATTGATGTTTATTACTGAAGACATGGCTTGAATGATGGTCTAACAAGGAGTGATGTACGACATTATTTTCAATAACATCTCAGCAACAGCTGATATTCAATGACAGATGACCTTTCTAGATTATTATTATTATTATTATTATTATTATTATTGTATGATAAACAGCTTTGATGGCCTCGTGACTGACAAAATCTCAGCACAGATACAAAAGGCTCGGCTAGCTTTTGTCAGCTTGCGTCACCTATGGCGCAGGCGAGATATCCGTTTTCTAACCAAAGGACGAGTGTGCTGTGCAGCAGTTCGCTTTGTCCTAATGTACGGATGCGAAACGTGGCCGTTAAGAGTAGAGGACATTCGTAGGTTACTAGTGTTCGATCATCGATGTCTCTGAAGCATTGCTCGTGTATCCTGGGACAACCGTATAAGCAATGCTGTCGTTAGGAAAGGAGTTCTAGGTAGGGATGGCCAATCAATAGATGAATTAGTGAAACTTCATCAGTTGACGTGGTTGGGACATGTGTTGCGTACGCCTAACCACCGACTGCCTCGACGAGCTATGTTATGTGGGAGTAGGAATAGGTTGGAAGAAAGTTAGGGGTGGCCAGACCAAAACATGGCAGAAATACATGAAGTCACTGACAAGTGGACTGTGTCATGTCGGTAGATGTAGACTACCTGGTTGGGGTCCACGAGACGATAATCACCAATGGTTAGAGACCTTGAACGATATGGCTCAAAATCGTTTGCAATGGCGCAGGTGCATCCACTCTTTGTGTTCTATGAAATTCTATGCTTCTGCATTCCTCATAATCTCTACCTTTCTCCTTCTAATTTTATCTTACTGAATTATACATCTCGAATCATATCTTCACTCCCTAATCTTCTCCATTACTGCTAATACTTATATTATTGCTATCACTGTTGGATTTGAACTGACAGTTGCATCTCTGTGTTGATGGGGCATGGCAACCTGAACTGATGTACTTACGTACGTAGTTCTGCGTTGTATCTGTCTGTCTGTCTATGACAAACAGAAGTTTGAATATTTTTAAATATAAAACGTTTTAAACTATTTCATTAATCTCATGAATCAACCAATCGCAGGCTACTATTGAAAAACCTGAAAGCATTAGGCAGCCGTTTCGTCCTACTACGGAGCTTATCAGTAGTGTATGGGAATCGAACCTAGAACCACTGGTGTCACATGTGAACATTTAACCTCTAGATCACTGAGTTGCGATCCACTGGTGTTAATGTCTAACTCAAATGAATCCACGATGCTGAGCAATTTCATCCATTGTCTTTGATGTTCGTCTGTGTTCATCTCACATTTGACACGATTGTGCATCGTCGTTTAGAGTTTCACACGAGAACTTCGAGGATTCGCTTGCGAAGCTAGTCACTAATCAATAAATATATGATAAATGTCAGTGGATAATGGTTGCACAGACATAATAACTTTATATTCGTTTACGCGCTTGTAAATCTGTTTACATATAAATATAGATAATATGTATATACCTGTTTAGTGTTTTCATGTTTATTGGTTTTGTAAAACAACTTCATTTCAACATTTTAGAACTAACTGCCTTTTTTTGTTTAAGTTGCTATCACCTTAATGATGGTGATTGCTTTGTACACATTGAAACAGTTAAAATCATACATAAACACACTCTGTTCAACGGTGAAGCAGTACTCACTGAAGACAGTGAACAAGACAGTGGATTAACACTGCTGAATCTCGGATCGGTGGTCCAGAGGTTAAGCGTTTGCGCACAATACCCAAGGTCCAGGGTTCGGATCCAGCGAGATACAGGAGTAGTGGATGCGCACTACCACTGATGAATCCCATACTAGGACGTTCCAGTGCTTCCATGATTCCAAAGTATTTTCATACATTTGAAATCATCAATCAATCATTGTTAGACCACCATTAGAAACCTGGAAGCACTGGACTGCGGTTTCGGGACTCATCAGCAGTACGCATCCACGACTCCTGCTCCTCGCTGGACCCGAACCCTGGCCCTTGGGTGTCGTGCGCGAACGCCTAACCTCTGAACCACTAGGCCGGCGTCCAACGATGGTAATGTCTAACTCTGATTGTTCTAGGGATTTTAAGCAAACCTTACCCATTTGTCTTTGGTAGTTACTGTCTACACCCGACAAAATTGAACTCCACCGGTCACATTTTCTCAACTATAAAACTCCGAGAATTTCCTCACGAAGCTAGCTAGTCACTAGTGAGCATATTTTACAATATTTTCAATTAAAAATCCAGTACTTCCAGGTTTCTAATCCTGGTGGTCTAACTAACAATGATTGATTGATTGACTGATGATTTCTAATGTGTAAAAACCAACACTAATATCCATCACTCTAAATGAAAAGTATTCCAATCTATTTTGATTAAATTAATCAAAATTTCTATTTAGAATAATTTTAATTATTGAGTTCAATTTTTTTTATTTTTGTCCAACTAAAACAAAAAATTAAAAAAAATCCACTTGATGATTTTTTTTAAAATTTACCATATCAGAAATTACTACTACTTACTTACTTATTTCCACTTAATAAATAAATTTTACCTTTATCTTGATAATACAAACTAACTAACTAACTAACTACTAACAAACATTGTTGTGACTCACCAAACACGGGTGTGGTTAATATTATTAATAATTATTATTATTATTGTTGGTGAATGCGATTACATTGACGGAAATGTTTTTTTCAAAAATTTCGGTATCCTATGAGAGATTCAATCGTTTATGAATTTTTAAGTAAGACAAACAGAAAAATCAATTGAACAAAGAGTGTAATTAAGTTGTGTGTTTGTTGTACAGAAAGAAAAAATAATTACTAATTATGAATCAGTTAGAAAAAATAATGCTTGAATTTCTGACATTGGACAATTGAACAAAAAACATGAATTTAAACAAAAAACCGACTATTCAATGTTCAATGAATTTTGAAAGTTTTTTTTTTTGAAATTGAATCTTCTTGATGATACTTTCGTATTAGTTTATAGGAATGATTACTTAGTTACTTACTAACGCCTGTTACCCACAATCGAGCATAGGCCGCCCACCATTTTTCTCCAACCAACTCTGTCCTGGGCTTCCCTCTTCAGTTCTGTCCAATTTTTGTTCATTCCTCTCATATCTTTCTCTATTTCTCAGCGTAATGTGTTCCTTGGCCTTCCACTTTTCCTTTTGACTTGAGGGTTCCATGTGAGGGCTTGTCTCGTGATGCAGTTAGGTGCTTGTCACGGTGTGTGTCCTATCCACTTCCACCACTTCTTCCTGATTTCCTCCTCCACTGAAGGAATCTGGTTTGTTCTCTCCCACAGTAGGCGGTGGTTGCTGTGCGTGTCTGGCCAACGAATCCGAAGTATTTTGCGTAGACAACTGTTCATAAGTACTTGTATCTTCTGGATGATTGCTTTAAGTAGTTCTCCAAGTTTCTGCTCCATACAGTAGAACTGTTTTGACTGTTGTATTGAATAACCTGATTTCGGTGTTTGGTTGAAAGTAGTTTTCAGTTCCAGATATTTTTCAACTGTAGAAATGCATCCCTTGCTTTGCCAATCCGCGCCCTCACAACTGCTGCATCGGATCCACCTTTCTCGTCGATGATTCATAGGAATGATAGTTATCAATTAGAGATTTTTTAAAAAAAATATTTTAAACGCGCTTGTTTAAATTAATCAACTTTGTTTTTTTTATCAATCAATTTCATCAGTTAAAATCATCAGTGTGCTGCTACTGAGTTTAATAATGTATATAAGATGAATAATATTTTGTAAACTTGGATGGTACATCAAAATGAACAATTTTTGACTATTGTTTTCTTTTATAGATTGACCTGAATATGATAAAAGTAGCTGAGATTGAATTATATATTTATATATAATAATATACATTTTTATTGGCACCTACTTTAAATAATAATCGATAGTCAAGTGTATCTAATAGAAATATCAGAAAATAACCTAGAA